AGTTATTTTTAACTTGCCAGTATTTTATGGCGGTGTTTTTTTTAACTGACTGTGTTCATCCTCACTAACATTATAGAGCGAGCTGTTTTATACGCTTCTTCACCCTGACGTACCTTCCTTGTGAGAAAGGAAGGTACGTTTTCGCATCCACCTTAAATGTAGTTGCGCCCCTGCTGGCACTTTAAAAGATACATTATCTTATAAAACAACATACCGTTTCATTTTCTTAAGGAAGTAAGAAAATGAAAAGGTATGTTTTCATTATCATTATTAGAAAAGAGTGCTAAAAAGATGAAGTAACACTTTATTTGATGGAGTGTACATAAAACTGGCATGACACTGTCATAAACATGATGTAACATCTGTCATGAACATTAAAGAGTCTTTATAAATGTTTATGACTGTTGTCATGAAGTTTCATTCGGTAAATAATGATACGTTCAATGCAAATGTGCTTTAAAAGTTGCATTAAAAGTGCCACCTTTACATTACTTGATAAATATTGAGATTTTAATGCAAGCTACAAACAGTATTGAAATCAGTAGAAGATAAAGTTTTTTGGCACATTGTGTGTCCAGCTCTGTTCTACATTTACTTTTTTTTTTTTTCAAAATTGGTTTTTCTTTTAACTTGTTGTTATCAGTTAATAACTACGTAAAATCTGAACATTACATCTAATAAAATACTGCTTGACTAAAAGCTTTGAACGTATATTGTTGACATGACAAACTGGTATTGTGCCAGGTTTCCCACAGTGGCACAATCAGCAGAGCTTTACGAAATCCCCTCAGGACATGAATAGGTTACATGAAGCAACCAGAAGGAGGCGCTCAAACACTATTTATAATCAGGTTAAATGAGAAGTTATGTGAAATATTATGAATCAAACATGAGGACATTCATTGAAAATAATAATAATACTAAAAAAAATCAATATGAGAATTACATTAAAGAATACGTTCTGAAATTAGACATTGTAGAAAATGCTGTTTGCCTCAAACAAAGTGATAAAAGTATGAATCAGCAGAAAGTGTGTAAAGTTCACATCATAAACATTAGGATAAAGCTAATGCCTTCTAACACGGACTTTTTCTTTATTTGCATAATTTCCAGACTATTGAGCACACCTGAATATAAAAAATTGTAAATAGCCCACACCTGTCTATAAGATGCAGGTGCCCACATTGTAACATGAGATATTCACACAGAATTATGTTACACAGAAACTTTTTTTTTTTACTTTTAATGAAATGTAGAATTGATAACATAAACAAGATGTACTGTAAATGTTTTCTTTCTTTCTTTGTTTTACAAATACTGCCTGCAACATGGCTTATAAAAAGAGAGAAAAAATATAGTAGATGCTGCTTTCGGTGTCAGTTTTGCCTTGAGTCAAATTTTCCCTTGAGCCTCTGCTGTCCTCTTCATTATGCAGCATTTCAGCCTTTCAAAACCCAAATGAAATAAGCATAACATCAAAATAAACCTAAATTTTCATATAATATTACAAATCTAAATTCAGTGGACTCCCACTATAAATAATGATTTTTACTTTTATTTCTTTTCCTCAACTTGCTTGATTGTTATTTGATCTGATTTGGATTTGAACATTCATAGATTGAAACAAAATAATAAAATACCTGAAAAGGAGTGTTTAATTTAAAACATATTTAAGATAGTTATTAAAATTGAATGTCTGTTTTGGCAGGGGGAGGAGTTGATGCAAAACAACACCTTTCCATGTCTGCGAGAGAGTTCAAGACCTGCAATAAGTCAGAGACAAACACACTGAGCAGAGACAAATGGCTGCTACAATGTTCAGACTTCATGAGTTTGTGATTGTTTTTCTCATCCTGACAGTTAACTGGACAGGTAAGGACAAAACATTGTTTATGTCTCTTAAGTAATAAATAGAGAAACAATAATCGCTCAGAACCTGATGATTTCTATGTCTGCAGGAACTGATGGTCAAACACTGACTGAGTCTGAACCAGTGATTAAAAGACCTGGAGAATCTCACAGACTGACCTGCATATATTCTGGGTTTAGTAGCAATCCTAACGTAGCTTGGATTAGACAGGCAGCTGGAAAAGGTCTGGAATGGATCACTTATATCAGCAGTGGCAGCACCATCTACTACTCTGACTCAGTAAGAGGCCGGTTCACCATCTCCAGAACCAACAGCAGAAGTCAGGTGTATCTGCAGATGAACAGCCTGACAGCTGGAGATTTTGCTGTTTATTACTGCGCTCGATAGACACAGTGACACAGAAAGCAGAAACACTGAAAAAAAACTCCGCAGAGCTTGAATAGTTTTAACAGATGGAGCCTGAGAATCGCTAATATTTGTCACAACCAACATATGCAAACTTCACATTGAAGAAATAACTTTGAGACCATTTTAAAACTTAATATTTTCCTTTTAGGTTTTTGTATTAGTATTTAATGACCAGAATAAATTAAGATTCAAGATAAAATAGACAGATAAAATTATTTCCACTGATAGAATAGTTACTGTTTACATTTTCTTACAGTTTTCTGTCAATTTGTTTTTGAATGACAGTCAATGGCAGAACAACAAGAAAATACTGCATGCACAACACAATAGTAGTAATAAACATGTCATAAAGTAGACCACTCATTGAAATCTTCTGTTTTGTCAAATCTCACTGGAAATGGATAAAAAAATCTATCAAAACCACAACATTGACATAAATACACACGTTTATAACGCGGATTTTTATCATATTAATTTAATATTTATTTAAAAATTCTTCATTACTTACTATGACAAAAATATAATTAATTTTCTGAATAAGTAGCTTAATGTTATAGGAAAAGAACATTTTGTGAACTTGCTCGAAAGTCATTTCTGGACCAGTTGAGGAAACCTTAAACCACTCAGATCGTCTCATGTTTAAAAAGAAAACATTTAAAAGCATTATTGTAGGTTATAACTGCAGTATTTGTTGGTCATAAAATTAAAAACAAGAACTCATACTAACTCAGATATAGGTTAAATATTCCATGTAGGTCAAGTGCATATTCGTAAATACATAAAGAAAAAATGTACTTCCAAAAGAGAGAGAGAAAGAAATCTAAAACAGTTTTTTCAAAAATAAGAAGAGATGAAAATGTAAATTGCTCTTACACAGTGAATATTGTTCTGAAATATTGTTTTGAAAAAAAAAAGCTTTATTTCTTGTACAAAAAGCGACAAAATAATTACTAAAAATCTCTTATAAGTTGGTTGAAAACAAAAGTAAACTTAATTTGATGTTTCAAGTTCTAAAAAGTGGTCAAAAAACATCATTTACAAAACCTCCCATCAATGCATCAGACATTTGCCAAACAATAGATCTCCACCAAGCACCTGATGTGTTCATAAATACTCAAATTAATGAGACTGTCTAACAATTACCAACGTAATCTAAACAATTCCAAATATAAAAATTAATTGCAGATTTTGGTTCTAAACTAACTTAAATATTTTCTAACTGCCCAAAGAAGAAAAGTAAATTGGTAGAAATTACAAGTCACAAAATTTAGCATAAACGGTCACAACAAATACTACCGAGCTGTTTTGTCATTATGCAAATGAAGTGTTCAGGTTTAATAAAGACTTGATCTGATGCTGTCAGCTACAGAAGAAGAGAAACTCCCATCAGATCATCATCATGTTCTCTGTAGCTCTGCTGCTGCTGCTGGTGGCTGCTGCATCCTGTGAGTCTCACTGAGATAGAAACATTTACATCATCATCATACCAGATTATTTGTGTAATGGTTTTATTCTGCTTTACTCTGTTTCTTCAGTTGTGAAGTGTGAACAACTGAACCAGCCAGCTTCTGTGACTCTGCAGCCAGGTCAACGTCTGACCATCAGCTGTCAGGTCTCTTATTCTCTGAGCAGCTATCCAACAGCTTGGATCAGACAGCCTGCAGGGAAAGGACTGGAGTGGATCATTAGAGGAGGCGTAGGATATAGCACATACTATAAAGATTCACTTCGGAACAAGTTCAGTATCAGTTTTGTCTCGTCCAGTAAAACAGTGACTCTGAATGGAGAGAATATGCAGCCTGAAGACTCTGCTGTGTATTTCTGTGCCAGAGAGACACACAGTGACACAAACAAGCAGCAGAGCTGTACAAAAACCTGAGTTTGAAAACTTTTGTTGTTATCCATCAACCAGAGGAGGCGCTCTCAGATCATAAAGGAAGTTACGCTATTTAATAATAAAGAACACTGCAATGTTTACATTCTCTGTCTAAATAAAAAAAAATATTGCATATAATACATAAAACTTAGAACAAGTACATTTCTAATTATTTTATATAAAATCAATGTATTGTTTCAATATGGTGATGTTATTGTCACCCAATGACACTAACATACTGACAACAAACAGTTCAGAAATACCTTGAAATGATTGTTAAAAAATCCTTAAATCTCTTATCTATCATCTAGAACCCTGCATTTAAAGTAAAATAATAATTATCACCTCAAAGATACACATTTAGAGCATTTTTTGTTAGGACAGATTGTGGGTTGAAAAGATTTTGATAAGCTGCAGTAGATCATTATAAAAAGGATGACAAATGGTGCATTTGTCTTAGATCTGGTCAAAAAAAAGCCAACTCAAAAAATAACAACAAAAAAAAACAACAACAACAAAACAGAGAGTTTATATATTTAATGATGAAATAAGCCAATAATTATCGTTGGATATTATTTTTCACTGCAGTGAAAATATGGGGACATTTCATTGTACAAAAAAATGTTTTTTGGAAACACTATTTTCTTTTAAAAGAAAAAATGTTGTGAATCTTTTATTTTATTTTAAAAATAAGATGTTGTGAATCTTTCATTCATCTTATAATTAAAAATAGAAAAATGGGGACTATGTCTCTTTAATGTAGGAAATCAAGTATATAAATTATCTGTTTTATTTTTACAACAAAATTAAAGTTCAAGCATGGTGGCTCTTCTTGGTCCTGAAATGAATAGTTTACGTTTACTTCAAACATTCTGGCAGGATGTTCAGTCATTATGCAAATTAAGCCTTGTGCTTTAAAAACCTGATTTGTTGCTGTCAGAAGAATAGAAACTCCCTTCAGATCATCAACATGTTCTCTGTAGCTCTGCTGCTGCTGCTGCTGCATCCTGTAAGTCTCTCTGACTATGACCATGCTTTGTTTCCTTGCTGTTCTCAGACTGTTGCACAATATTTACTGTTTATTTAGATGTGAAGTGTGAGCAGCTGACCCAGCCAGCCTCTCAAACTGTGCAGCCAGGTCAACGTCTGACCATCAGATGTCAGGTCTCGTATTCAACTAGCAGCTATGCAACAGCTTGGATCAGACAGCCTGCTGGGAAAGGACTGGAGTGGATTGGGAGAAAAGGTGGTGGATGGAGCACTGAATACAAAGATTCCCTGAAGCACAAGTTCAGCATTGATGTTGACTCTTCCAGTTCAGTGACTCTGAATGGCCAGAATATGCAGCCTGAAGACTCTGCTGTGTATTACTGTGCCAGAAACCCACAGTGACACAAACCAGCTGCAGAGCCGCACAAAAACCCCTGAGAACATGTGCTAAAAATATCACCTGAGCAGTTGCTCTGCAAATAGTTTGAGTCATTTAAAAAATATGTATGATATGCTATTGCATATTTAAAATTACAAAAAAAACACACAAAATTAAAATAAAGAAACCGTTAAATATATCTAACAGATATTAAAATATACTCACAATGGTCATGAACAAACACAAAAAAAACACAATCAAATCACACATTGCTCTAAACCAAAGCAACAGCTCAAATCAATCTGTTTTTCAGGTTTCACCAATTTAAAAAAGAACTGAAGAATTATTCTCAAAATGCTTATTAGAACTAAAAAAGTTCCTTTACAAGTTTTTAAAAGCTTAAGAAAGATTTGAGAGTGAAAATGAAACATATGAATACAGTCATATTTTCAAATGATATTACCATCCTAAAAGGCTCCAAAAACAAAGAAACACTTCAGATTAAAATTGATCATTTCCTGTTTTTCCGGCTTCTGTTCAACTTGTGGTTTAACTGAAAGAAACGTGGTTTATTCCACTTCTGCAAAGAGACTGGAAATTGATTTATCATGCAGGTATGACATATTTTCTGATCTGCTTTATGTGACAAAATGATCCTGAATTAAATCCAAAAATTACAAACCTATCCTTCATAGCCACATGTTCTTCATAATCACATTATTTCTAAAATGATCTCCTCTGACACGGTTTGTGCAGAAACATGATTTGCTATTATTTGAGATGCTGTGGCGGCGCAGGGGTAGAACGCGAATGATTAACTTGAGCAATATATCCAGAAGTACCCTTATGCAATAATCAAAATCAAATTTTTGAAGAGAGTCAAGATAGGTTGTGTTTTTTTTTTTTTTTTTCCAGGAGGAGTTAAAGCTAAATTTGCCCGGATTCCAACACTACATGTGTGTGAAAGAATTTAAGACCTGCAGAAAATCAGACTGAGCAAAGAGAAATGGCTGCTGCAATGATCAGACCTGAGGTTGGGATTGTTTTTAACATCCTGACAGTTAACTTGATAGGTAAGGACAAAAGATTATTTAAATAAAACTTTAAAGTAATAAATACAGATATATTTATATTTCAGAACCTTTGTCTGCAGGAACTGATGGTCAAAAGTTGACTGAGCCTGAATCAGTGGTTAAAAAGCTTGGAGAATCCCACAGACTGATCTGCACATATTCTGGACTCCTCACATGCACTGGGTCAGACAGGCAGCTGGAAAAAAACCGGTGTGGGTCACTCATATCAGCACTGGAAGCAGCTACATCTACTACTCTGACTCTGTGAAAAACCGTTTCACCGTCTCCAGAGACAACATCAGACATAAAGTGTATCTGCAGATGAACAGCCTGACAGCTGGTGATTCTGCTGTTTACCACTGTGCACGAGCCATGGTGACGCAGAAAACAGAAACACTGAACAAAAACTCAAAGCTCAAGAATAGTTTTAACAAGAAACCACCACAAGGGAGCCCTAACACCACTTTTCTTAGGTGACTGGCTCTCTGCCCTTACTGTTTCTTTTGTCTTTATTGTTATTCAGTGGAGTTATTCCTTTCAGTCCTGTGCTGAACAAACACCGTACAATTCTCATTTTGTCAACCTGGGGAAAAAGCACTATGTGGATAAGTCGGATTTTAACAAGTAACAAATATAGATAGATTTCAATCTTTAGCAATATGCCAGACGTATTCCACTGAGCTTAAATTTTTCAAGGAACCTTATTGAATTATTGATTGTGGTGAATGTAAATGTTTGACCCTGTATGAATAATTTTGAGCCAATAAGAAAAAACAATCAAGAAATAAATTATTTTTAATTTTAGAACATTTTTTTTTTTTTGCATGACCACTCAAGTCTGGAAAAACAACATTTCATTTAAAATGAAAATTCATGATGCATGTTTGTAAAAACATTGCATAATACATATGTCATATGTCACATATATCAACCATTTCCATTAAAATCACACAAATAATTTTAAAGCAATATCATAAATGCAAACATATTGTTTCTTCACAATGTTAAATAGTACACATTTTTTTATAATGTGTTTTTGATAAGATTGGTTTGGTATTATGCAAATCAGAAGAGTCAGGGCTTATAGATTTGATCTGATGCTGTCGTCTGCAGAAGAAGAGAAACTCCCATCACATTCATTCAACACCAACATGTTCTCTGTAGCTCTGCTGCTGCTGCTGCTGGATGCTGTGAGTCTCTCTGAGATAGAAACATTTAATGGATGAATAAACTGAACTGAATCTCCATTGTTGTTAACAACTGAGTTTTGCTGTGTTTTTTCCCCAGGTATGAAGTGTGAACAGTTGTCACAGCCAGACTCTGAGGCTGTGCAGCCAGGTCAACGTCTGACCATCAGCTGTCAGGTCTTTTATGCTCTGAACAGCTACTGGACATATTGGATCAGACAGCCTGCAGGAAAAGGACCGGAGTGGATTCACAGCTCATGTGATGGATGCACCCCATATTTCAAAGATTCACTCAGAAACAAGTTTAGTATCACCATAGTTTCTTCCAGTAAAACAGTGACTCTGAATGGTCAGAATATGGAGCCTGAAGACTCTGCTTGCTGTGTATCACTGTGCCAGAGAGTCACAGTGACACTAACAAGCTTCAGAGCTGCACAAAAACCCATGAACAGATTATTTCAAACCACTAGGGATGTTGTTCATTTATTGTCTATATTTGGCTAAAACCAGACTTGTGTTTGAAATAAATTCACATCACACTATTTGATATATTTATCATATCTTGAATGATAAATTTACCAGAGTCATGGTAAGTTTGCCTTAAAAACTACCTAAAAGTCAATGTAAATTTGCATGGGTGCAAAAAATATCGAAATATTTCAGCAAATTGCTTTTCAACAATATTAAAGTAAGATGCATTACATAAACATATGTCAAATGATTTACCAAAATAATCTAAACAATAAAATCCTCTTTTGCTAAACTGTTACCAAGAGGAATTTAAATTTCACAACTAAAGACATATTTCAGTTTCAAAGTGTCCTATTAAAATAATACGTTTTAGTAATAACTAGTCGTTTTCTGAAAATATGAACCAATGCTTGAAAACTCCATCAGAATCTGAAGGACTGAATGTGAAGTTTAGAAGCTCAGTGGTCATTGACATTTCAAATGAATGAGTGAAACGTTTCACACAGCCATTCTTGATTTGATTTCTAACTCTTACTCATCAAATTTTATTGTGTGAAACACAGCAAAAAAGAAAGAAACATGTTTTGGAAAGGAACAAAATGTTTAACAAGACAATAAAAAAAGTTCTGCACAGATCAAAAGGTGACAATAACACACTCTGCTAAAAACAGTTCATGTTCTAGTTTATGATTTCCTGTTTCCCCACATTTTCATAATGTGGTTCAACTGAAAATATCTTGTTTGATCCTTCCACAAATACATCCACAAATGCAAATTACATAATGGGTCAGAAATAAAATATGTATAACAACTACTGTTCGAATTTTATTAGTTGAGTTATGTTTTAGAAGTAATGCAATATTGTGACAATTAATGTAGAAATATGTAAAATCTGCAATCAACCTTAAATTTTGTTTTCATAGATCAAATGGATCTAGTTCTTCATCAAGAGGAGGAGTCAA